AAAGGAAAGGAAAGGAAAGGAAAGGAAAGGAAAGGAAAGGAAAGGAAAGGAAAGGAAAGGAAAGGAAAGGAAGAAGCTAATTTTTCAGATACTGGTTAAGGTTATCATTTATTTTGTGCATTTCATCCGACAGATGTAGAAAGACAGGCCAACATTCCACTGCAGTGGAAAATTTCAATGGAAAATTCAGTTGTTAGGAGGAAAGGACCTGACAATTAAATAACCAGGGTTAGTCAGGACTTTCCCACTTGGTACATACTAAACTGTGCTGTGCCTTGATTGCTCTATTTCAAAAGGGTTAGCAAACTCAGAAAGTTGTTGGAACATCTTTTATAGGTGGGAACACTAAAGACATTTTGGAAAGAAGATCCAGTATGGTTCATAATATTAGTCAAATGGTGAAGAAAGTAGACAAAGAGAATAAAAAACAGAGAGAAAATGGTGGGCGAGGTGTTTTCCTCCCTAGTAAAAGAACGTGGAAGCTATCAAATACAAATGATTGACAGAAAAATAATCAGGTAAGATAAAACAGAGTACCTATTGTCTCACACAGTACCTTCTGAGACAGTGGAACTCACTGCTACTGGACATGCAATAGCCAGGATTTTTAAAAAGGAATGGAAGGAAAATTCAAGGAGCAACCACAGATCACCCATTTGGGCAAGGAGGCTGAAATGAGACTTAGCACTTATTGGAAATGCAAACAGAACAAGAAAGGAATATGGTCAACATGCACCAAGACTTAGACCTCTTGAAATCAGTGATTTCAAGTCTACCTCTGACCCATTGTAACTAAGAGCAGCATGTGGAACAAAATTGAGTTTTGGTGGTGGGGTGCGGTCATAAGACAGCTCTTTGCACCTCCAACTACTCTGTGTCTTCCTTCCCAACAGGGCGCCCCCATTCCATCTGCCTAATGCTACCGTCAATGATTGCCTCCTCACATCAGGAAACAGTACCCTCCTGAGCTCCTCAACCTCCAGCATGGCCGGCATTGTGTTTCTCCTCCTGGCTGCCCTGATTGGACTGCCTGGGAACTTCTTTGTGATTTGGAGCATCCTTTGGAAAATGAAGCCGAGCCATCGCTCAGTCACCTGCCTTCTGGTCCTAAACTTGGCAGTGGCAGATGGTGTGGTTCTTCTCCTGACACCTTTCTTCATCCTCTTCCTTGTCTTCAAGACCTGGCTGTTTGGGTGGGCCATTTGCAAAGCAGTGTATTACCTGTGTTGCATCAACATGTTCACTAGCATCTTCATCATCACCCTCATGAGCGCAGACCGTTGCTTGGCAGTCAGCCAGCCCTATTATTCCCAAGCCATCCGGAAGAAGAATCTGGTGGTCAAGATCTTGGTGGGGATTTGGCTGGCGGCCATTTTGTTATCTCTGCCAGCCTTCTTCTTCCGCCAGGTTTTGAAGGAACGCTCACGGGGATATCTCATTTGTGAGCCTTGTCACTCCAGGCCAAGCCTGGCCATCTTCCACTTCACCATGGAGACCGTGGTGGCCTTTGTGATTCCATTCACCATTATTGTTGGCTGTTACTCTGCCATTCTGGTCCGCCTCAGGGGAGTGCGGAAAAGAAAAGGGGCTCGGACTGAGAAACTGATTGTGGCCATTGTGATCTGTTTTGCTGTCCTCTGGATGCCCTACCACATCATCAACATGATCCAGGTGGCTTCCAATCTAACCTCAGGGCAAATGGCAGAGCGACTGGGGCAGGCCTGGAAGAGTGGGCGAGCAGGGGCCACAGCCTTAGCATTCTTGAGCAGCAGCATCAACCCTGTGCTCTATGTTTTTGTGGCTGGGAACCTTATCAAGACTTCGGGCGCCAATTTCATTGCCCAGTTTTTCGAGGGAGCATCTGATGGGCTCGGACGGAGGTCTCAGTCTCAGAAAAACTTGGACAAAGACTTAATAGCAGCAGGTGGGGCATCTGTGAACCTAGACCAGCAGCCACTGGGAAATGGTGATGGGGTCGACAAGGACACAGATTGCAGGCTGATTGATGGCACAACATACAACATTTCTTAAACTGAGTCACAACATGAGGAATTCTAGAATTGCCTTATACTGGACCAGTTCCTCCAGCATGTGATTGTCAACGCTGACTGGGCAGACGTTCTTCAGAACTTCATGCAGTGGTCTTATCGAAGTGAAGGTTTGAAGCCAGGATCATTTGTGTACAAAGTATGAATTCTGACTCTGTGCTATTTGCCTGCCCTTCATGTAAAACTGTCAGCCCTCCCAGGTAAACCAGACAGGAAGCACGACCAAAGAAGCTATTTCTACTTTATTGTAAGGCTACATTAACAGAATCTTGCAAGTCTGAAAGTACAAGTCACCCACTGTCTCTCTTATCACCTGAAACTTAGGGTGGATCCTTTCAAAGTTTCTTTCTCTGCCCACTACTCAGTTGTGGGATTCTCCCCTTTTTATCTGATCATTCTCTAGGCAGCATCTCTTCCTCCCAACCCCTGTCTTCCAAGGTCACTCTCACCACTTCTACACTACATGACATGCACAACTGGGTTTTTTTTTGCCTCTCCTCCCCTTTTCACTTTGTACCTAAATTACTGCAAGTGTTGCTTGTTGCTTTTTTCTTCGTTTTTTTATGGCTACATTTTCCCCTCTTGCCACATACACTTGGAGAAATCCAATATACTGAATTTGGTTCTGTTTTTATTTTCATAGCTAGGCTTTAGGTTTGACTCTTATGAAAAGAACACACAACTATTGTTGACTTTGAGCATGTACAGAGTGTTTCCCTGCTAGTAAATAAGTTGTCCATGAATGGTTAGATGTCAGGGGCCACTTCCTCTTCCTCCTTAAAAATTATACATAGGTTCCTTTCAGGGAATATTTGGGTACTGAACAACAAATGCAATTTCTCAAATACCTTAAAGTTAAAAGTAAAGCAAAACTCTTGAAAATTCCCTGAATTTGGGGGCATCTGTAATGCAGAACCATGAAGAAGAATGACAGTTCAGGGGGGTCCACTTGGTGTCATCGCACATGTTTTATGTGTGTCACATATCCAGTGCTTGTAAAACCAGGCAGAGCTTCAATCATGCCATTGTGACCACCATCTTGACTTTTTAGCCAAATGTTGCAGTCAACCCACCAACAGTTCAACAGTTTAAATTTAAAAGTTGACAGAAGCTAGTTGAATAAACTGATATATATATATATATATATATATATA